TTACTTTGACATCCTGATGCATCTGTCACTTTGATCTTTTATACTCAGTCAAGCAAAATTTGTAAGAGAAAACTGCCGGGGGAGAAAACAGGATGATTCACTGGGTGTCTTGGTATTATTATGTTATTGTGATGAATGAAGAGTTTGTTATCAAGGACTGATTTGGAGGAAGTCAAATTGAAGATTATTTCTAGTTAGATTGTAAACTCCAGTAGTGTCCATCTTTTTATTCTAGCTTTGTACAATGCCAAGCACAATGGAGTCCTGCTCCATGACTAGGGTTCGTAGGCACTATGGTAATGCAAACAAATGGAAGAGGACTGGTAAAAATCTCCAACAAGTTTTGGCGCTTCTACCCATAGTGAGCAGGAGATTTTACAGAGATATTATGTGAGATGTGGGACTGAATCAGACTGATATAACAAGAGGCATAGAGGCCAACTCCCATTGAATGGAAGCTGTATGCCCTCTTGATTTGGGATAGCAGATAAAACTTAGATGTATGAGGAAATTAAAATATGAGTCTCTTGGTGAAGGTAGGAAATTCTTTGCTTTCCAGTGTTAAGACTAACAGAGAAGATAGCAGAAAAATGTCATTTAAGCTAGGTTTTTTTATTTCTGAGTTGGTGACCACTGAAAAACAAATGAAACAAATTGAGCACCCATATAAAGGCTCACTAGAACAATAATTGACAGATCTGGGTTCTAGAAAGCTCCACTATTAACTGGTATATTTGTTTTCTACTAAAGTCTCCTGTAACTGATCTATATCTTGCTATATTTATCACAGTTTCTGTATGCACAGTGCACAGAACAGAGGTTCTTAAACTCTTTCATAGTGGTGACAATATCCTACTTTTGTTAGTAAATGTCTTTTATCCAGTGATGGATTTAGAGTTAGTGGGGTCCTGTGCACAGCTTCATTTTCGGGGCTGCCCCCTCGGGACCCAGCCAAGAAAAAGATCATTCTCTCTTATCTCCCCCCTTCCCCTTGTTTTTCATTCTTTTTTTCTTCATCCTCCTCCTATATTATAAGTAATAGGAAGTAAATGAAAATAAAATGAGGTACCTTGATTGGGGCAGGGGGTTGGGGTGCAGGAGGGGTGAGGGGTGCGGGCTCTGGGAGGAAGTTTGGGTGCGGGCTCTGGGCAGGGACAGGGGGTTGGGGTGCGGGAGGAGTCAGGGGGTGGCGTTTACCTTGGGTGGTGCAGCTCCCAAAGTGACCGGCACACCCCTCTGGCAGTGGCTCCTAGGCCAGGGGGTCGGGGGTCTCTGCATGCTGCTGCCCGCAGGCGCCGCCACCACAGCTCCCATTGGCCGCCATTCCGGCCAATGGGAGCTGCGGAGTCAGCACTTGGGGTGGGGGCAAAGTGCGGAGACACCCCCCCAGGAGTCGCAGGGACATGCCAGCTGCTTCCGGGAGTGGCATGATGCGAAGGGAGGGAGGCAACGTGGGCAAGGAGTCACCTTAGCCCTGCTGTGCTGCTGCTGGCATGTCACTGCGCGCCCCTTGGGGGTGACGGGGCAGTGGGTCTCCGTGCACTGCCTGGGGTGGGGGCAGTGTGCGCAGCCACCTCCCCCCGGCCAGGGGCATGCAGAGATGTGCCCGCAGCCAGCCACTTCTGGGAGCAATGTGGGGCCACCGGCCACAGAATGCAGGCAGCCTGCCTGTCTGAGCCCTGCTGCGCCGCCAGCAGGTTGTCAGATGAGATTTGTCCTGAATTTTGGGGGCCCCCTGTCATTGGGGGCCCCTTGCCACCGCACTGTTTGTTTCATGGTAAATCTGCCTCTGCCTTTATCATAAAAACAGCGAGAATGATTAAATAAATACATAATCAGATGGATTAGTATAGTACTATCATAAACACCTACAGTGATTTAGGTGATTTAGGCACCCAAATCTCAGTTTTAGGCACCACTGCGAATCCCATACCCTTGCTTGGCTGCTGCCTAACCCTGTTGGTGTCAAAACTCACTCACCACCTAAATTTTTGCTGTAAAAGTTAACTCAGAGCCTATCTCTGGGCATGTGCACTGCTGTTTCACTCTAGGCATCTGGATGCTGATTTCATGCCGAAGCCCCCGAGCAATCCATAATGCAAGGGGAAAATAGGCATTCCTCCACCTATCTAGACTATGGGACCTGATTCGGTAGGCATGCTCAGTGTTCCAGTACCTAAGTCCCCTTGTGGATCTAGTCCCAACTCACTTGTGACACTGGGCAAATTCCAAACTCTGCATCTGTTTCCTTACAAGGCTCTTTGTTTTTGGTTTTTACCTATTTTAAAGAAAATTTCCCAGATTTTACAAAAGCTGTAAGTTTTCCACTGATTTTCACCTTAATTTTTGACCACTTAAGTACACATCTACCCTGCTATAACGCGACCTGATATAACACGGGTTCGCGTATAGCGCGGTAGCAGCGGGGCTCCGGGAGCGCTTTAAAGGGTCCAGGGCTCTGGCTGCTGTGGGGCGCCCCGGGCCCTTTAAATCACCACCAGAGCCCTGCCGCCCCGGACCCTTTAAATCGCCGGCAAGCCCCGCTGCCGCAGCCCCGGGGTAGGGGCGGCAGGGCTCCGGTGCTGCGGGGAGCCCCGGGCCCTTTAAATCACCGCTGGAGCCCTGCCGCCCTTACTCCGGGGCTGTGGCAGCGGGGCTCCACTGGCGATTTAAAGGGCCTGGGGCTCCCCGCAGTGGAGCCTGGAGCTCTTTAAATCACCACCGGAGCCCTGCCGCCCCTACCCCGATATAATGGGGTTTCAGCTATAACGCGGTAGGGATTTTTGGCTCCCCACGACCACGTTATAGCGGGGTAGAGGTGTACATGAAAATATTGATTATGTTAAGAAAATCAATACATTACATTAAGAAATTGTGTTTATGTTAATAATAAATTAGTCTACGTGTAAATGCCAGGCTGTCTGCTAAAGTAAGGCAATGTAGCAGAAACTACTGTATATGCACACACAAATAGATGTGCAAATAAACTAAGGCATTTAACTGCTTTTACTTTCAATAATCTTAGGGTAACACTACACAGCTAAAAAAAACCCCCCACAGCAGCAAACCTCAGAGCCCAGGTCAACTGACTTGGTCTGGCAGGGCTCACCTTACAGGGCTAAAAATATCTGTTTGGACGTTTGGGTTCAGGCTGGAACCCAAACTCGGAGACCCTTCCCAATCGCCTCAGAGCTCAGTTGATCCAGGCTCTCAGACTCGCTGCCATGGAATTTTTCTTTTTTTTTTTGTGTGTGCTGTGTAGACGTACCCTTACGTTTCTCTATTTCTTGCTTTTTCCCCTGTGCTCCTTTCTCCCAGTATTTACCCAGAAAACTATTAATTTAATTTTAGGCACCAATTTTCATCCAACTTTAATTTTTTTTGAACAAACACCAATAAATTCCAGGGAATTTATTTAACAAAATAAAACCTGAAAACGGAGTGCCTTGCCTATCCATGAAATGATATTTGTCCGCCTTTGTAAAGAATGTTGCGTTCTGCGGTATTATTTTCCTCCCTCAAATCTCCTTTGCTGTGATGCCTATAGAAAACTGAGACCACTGCTTAGTGCATTGACCAATATTGTCTTATTGTTTCCCTGTACTGTCCCCATCTATCTGTAACCAGACATTGCCCCCTCTAATACTTAGATGGTAAGGTCTTTGGGGCAAGTGCTGTCTTTTTGTGCTGTTTTCGGCCAGTGCCTAAGGGCTGTCCATAAATGATGTACTGCATAAGGGGGAATGGGTGGGTTCCATGACAGAGCGTTTGCTTCAGTGTTACAAGGGGGAGGGTCTTGAAAATCACCAAAAATGTGTTATGTAATTTATGGACAGCACCCCCCTCCCAGCCCAATGGGGCTCTGCTCCATGATTGGGTCTCCTAGCTGCTGCCCCAATACACATAACTATAGGCTCCGGGGGGCCCTGGAGCAAGTAGCTAAAGCCTGTAGGGAAAGGCAAGTGGGTGCAGCAGGTGTATGGGCATTCAGTCCCTTGCAAAGTGAGGAGTCTGGTGGCACCTTAAAAACTAACAGATTTATTTGCTCATAAGCTTTCGTGGGTAAAACATCCCTCTTCTTCAGGTGCAAGTGAAGTGGTTTTTACCCACAAAAGCTTATGCCCAAATAAATCTGTTAGTCTTTAAGGTGCCACCGGATTCCTCCTTGTTTTTGTGGATACAGACTAACACGGCTACCCCCTGCTACTTGCAAAGTGGGGGCCAGCTCCTGCTTCCGCTGGGAGTTGCCCAGGGGAATTTTGTGCCTTGGCTGCACCGGGAGCGGGACTGAGCCCCTGGCCTGCTTGTCTCGCTGGCTGCCGCTAGAGGGACTGTGGGGGCGCAGGAGCCGGGCCAGCTGCCAGAGCCGAGGCTCCGCCCGCCTGCCAGGTAGGGGATGCGCTCCAGGGAGGGCAACAAATCAGGGTGGAAGGAGCCGGGGCGAGAGCGAGACCAAGCAGAAGCGCCGCCCTCGGCCGCTGCTCCAGCCCGCTCAGCGACGCCGCTAAGCCCGCCAGGGGGCCGGGGCTTGCGGACCCGACCCCGCACACAAAGCAGTTAACCCTTCCCGCCCCGCCACAGAGCCCCCGATCCCCGGCCCGAGCAGGGGGGGCAAGACGCGCGCTGGCTGGGGGGAGAGGCTTGAGGGCCTGAGCAGCTGCCGCCCCCTCCTCCCCGCTCCGCTGCGTTAGCGCTGGGAAGGCAGGAGCGAGGAGGAGGGGGCGGCGGGTGCAGCCGCTGGGGGTTGCTCACGGTCACGGCTGGTTGCCCGGCGGGGATGAGACCCCAGCCCGGGGTGGGGAGCAGCCCCCTGTGTGCCGGCGGCTGCCCCCTTCCCCCGCTCCCCACTCGTGCATGCGGAGAGGGCGCCACGGGCCACCGATGACCCTCACGTCCTGCCCGGGCAAGCCGCTGCGTTGGCCCCCCGCTGCTGCCCGGCCTCTGCCTTTGTCTGGCCCCACCTCGCCGCGCACGTTTCAGCCCCTCCACCCGTCCCAGTGCGGGCCCCTGGCCTGGGTCCTCCCCCCTCCCCGCTTGTGTGAGCGCCCGGGTGAACCCCCCCTACAGGGGGGAGTTGCGAATCCCACTGTGACTTTGCCCCCTGTTCTGCAGTATTTGCCCCCCTGGGGGGAGCCAAAGGAGGGAGATCGCAGCTGCTTCCTCCTCCTCCAGCTGCGAACAAGCCCGCTGCAGTGCCAGGGTGAACTCTGCCTGCCTGCCTTGGGGCTGCCAAGTGCCCACAGGTTTGGGCACAGAGCAGTTTCGCAACCCCCCCAGCTCCTGTGGCCTCCATGCTTGCAACATTCAAGCGGGATCAAGAGGAGGAGGAGGCGAGCAGGGGTGGATCACTTCCACCCCCGTGGGACCACGCTTGAAACTCTTGTTAGGTATGTGGTTCCTAGGTCAGCCGCAGCACGCTGGATCCGGCTAGGAAGAAGCTGAGACATTTGGGCAGGAACCTGCCTTTAGAGTAGCTGCAGAAGCAGCAGCTCGGCAGCGCCATGGAGAACGTGGAGTTCAGAGGCGGACCGGAGAGATTTCCAGACAAAGATCCCCGGCTGAATGCAGTGTTTGTGGATCAGGGGCAGATAATGATGATGATGGTGGAGCAGAGAGGAGGCGATGGGTACAGATTGGTGGAAGTGTTGCTGACTGGAGGGGCTCCTTGGGGCTTTACCTTAAAAGGAGGAAGAGAGCATGGGGAACCTCTCATCATCACCAAGGTAAGATACCTTTGCAGGAGAGCGAGGGCTGTTACCTGACACGTTCCCCCCATTTTTCTTATCTTTCGTTTCGTTGTATGTAATCTCTCCTTTCCCTCACCTCTCAGGTTAACCATATCTCTATAGTCGTTACACGACCCAAACAATAGGCTGGCATAATGAATGACAGTCATGGGAACACTATACTTGTATCGACCCTTGCTGAAAACGGTCGCAGTCTCTTTAACAAGCTTCTCATATCATGATCAGACTTAGAAGCTTGAAAGTTGCGCAACAATTTTGAGAAAAGTGCATGATAAAAATGTCATTTTTTGTTGCTCTTGGTCCTAATGTGAATTGCAGTGTGCCCGTGAACTTAAGGGGGATCTTTCTCGGCTGGAGTTTTCTAGTTTGTTGCTTCAGTGGAAGACATTTGCCTGTTGCTCCTAGTTCCTGCTTGATCACATCATGGGTTCATAATTTCTTAACCTTCTAATAATTCCTTGTCCAAACGGTACAGTTCCCCTCTCCCCAGTAGTATACTGCTGTTTCTTGTCTCATTTCTCCTCTTTAGCACTGGCCTGCACCTGTAATAGAAGAACAACGGTGTGGGATGGGGGAGGGGGTGAGGGGTGGGTGAGAATGTAAATAAACAAAGCAATAAACTTCCCTAACTATTAGGCTGTTGTGTTCTATTGCTTGTTGGAAAAATAAACCTAGGGGCACACGTGCTTTAGCTGTACTTCTATAGTTTTAGTTTATTCACTACTTATGTAATTTTTTATAGTGTAATTGTATCAGAACACTACAATACTCTTCAATTATATACATCAATCCTGCTATATATATTTGGCAGGGTTTTGTTTGACATTTCATTGCACAGTTATGTATGTTCGGAGAAACCATTCTTTTTGTTAAACCCATTTATAAGGCTGTACCTAATAGCTATTTTTGGCTACAGCATGTCAGCTTTACAACTTTCAAAATGTTGCTGGTTTAAACTTCTAGAAAACAGTTCGTTGCTTTTAATTTTCTTTTTCTCCCCATCAAAAACCTTTCAAATAATTCTGAATGACCGTTGAAATGTTGAGAAAATGAGTGAAATGAAGGAACATTCCCCCCCCCCCATCCATAGTAGAAATTACTTCAGGCTTTTATATTATTGTACTGTATTAAAGTTTTGACACAAGCCAGGAAAATTCAAAGTAAAGGCTAGCACTCATTGCCCTAATTCTGAGTTTTCCATGGGGATTTTGTTAATTTTACAAAATATTTATTTAGCATAGTATTTTAAATCTGATTTAAAACAAAAGTTCTCGTGGAATGTGATTAAACATGTTGTATGAGAGAAAGAAAAGGCTATTGGGTAAAAAGTGTTTATGTATGTGTATGCTGTGCTTCACTATTATATATCATGTATATTTCAGTTTTAGGCACACATTACTTACTTGACAAGGGTGCATTATTATTATTGTGTGTTTTCTAAGAAATTGACAATTGTGGTATATGTTTTGACCCAGGAATTCCCTTGTACTTTCTTAAACAAACAACTACATCAGGATCTAACTGATGGTTTAAAAACCATGAAGGCAGTTGTCTGGTTATGCAAGCAAAAAACAAAAACAGACCCTTAGTCAAAAAAAAAAAAGTCACAATATATTTTTCTGAAGCTTTGTTATGGGAGAAATACAACTCTTGGTCTGCCAGCTCCAGGGACATTTTGCCTGTTCCTATTTTACAAGTACATAAAGAATGTGAGAGGTCAGCAAATCCTTGAACATCCCAGAGCAAGAACTTTTCTATTGTTATTGTCATACTAAGTAGGTTTTTTTCTCTCTCTATATGGGTTTACAAGTTTATGTATTCTGGGCTTTCCAAATTAGGGCTTATCTAAACAGAAAAGTGAGTGTCTATCATCTATGTACCTTGTCTCCAACCATGCACCTTTAGTTTTAGGGCCCAAGAACTCAGAAATTTCAGGATCCTAAAGAAGAGGACTTGTTACTGTGTTAGATTCTCACTCGTGGAAGCTGAAGTGGTTCCTATTCTGAAGATTCTCACATTGTGCGGCAGACAAGGGCATGATTCTGCAAAAATGCACATCCATAACATTGCTCATGTAATAGGACATTTCTCATAAGCAAAGATACAAATCTGCTTAAGCATTTGGAGTCTTTACATGTATGTCCCAAGCCTTGGGTGTTTGAGAACAAAGGATGACCAAGATGTCCATGGCAGTTGCATCCATATATGTCATGGAAGAATTTTGTGGGCTAAATGTCTGCTTCCCTGTTTTTCCTTACCATACACAGGACTACGACCACATAAAGGGACACAGCTGGCTTAAAAATCGCATCTCTGTCTGAAAAGTAGTACCTAAGATTACTATAACTGAACAAGATTAAAGATAGAAATATTATTTTTCCCGAAAACCCCATAAAAAGAGAAGGGAGACTCTCGGGCAAGGGTAATATCTAAAACTAGTCCTGATTTTCTTTTTAAATTGACTAAATTTCAGTTTAACAATCTACCAAGCTACCAGAATGCACTGAGGGAAAGGCATGCTAAACCGAAGAAAATCTATGTTTAAATCTCAGTAGGGAGATAAGTATGTGTGCCATAAGCATTGGAATGTTGGGTGCAGGAAGTATTTTACTCATCCAACATGCAAAGAAAGGTCAAACTAGAGTCACCCTACTAATACCCAAAAACAGTACTAATAGCGTATCCCACTTAATTGGGTGATTAAGCTGGCTCATTTCAATATTTCTTCTTACCCTGCAACTGAAACAGAAAACTTAAGGTTCTAACTACCTATTTCAGGAGCACACTTCTGAGTTCACCCACCAATAGTGTGTGTGGGGGGTGGTGGTAGGTTTTTTTTTTTTTTTTTTTTTTTTTTTTTGATGCAATGATCATGAAGAAAAATGGTACATGATACAGCTTGTTCAGGTCTTGAACATAGTCGGTCTTCTGAAACTCACCCCACCCATATGCAACTGCATTCTTGACTAATACTTAAATGTATTTTTTCAGTGTCTTTAGTATCCTCACTTGACAATAAAATCTTACTCCTGAAAGAAAAATTAGGGATTTTCAATCTGGTTTTGCAAATCTTTACATTAAAAAGTAATAGCATTATGCTTTGTATTTCTTCCAGAGCTCTGTGCATGTCTTCTAGAGCATTCCAAAAATTTGCCCCCAAGGCAACTTATTTTTGCCTAATATGGTAACTTTGAACTTTGAGGAAGGGGGCTGACTTTTTATAGCAACTTGCAGAATCTCTACTTTACCTGGACCACTACTCTCTGTATAGGTGTGACTTTTAACTATCTCATTTTCTTTTTTTTAAATGAAGCAAGCAAACACTGAATTTAAGAATGAAAACCTCAATATTGTCATGGGTGAACCTTTAAAAATAATATCTTTATTGATAGCTAGCTAGTTTTAAATATAGTTAACTTTTCTCTTTTAAAATGTCTTTTTGATAATAATCAGAAAACGTACCTGTCATTCCCAGGTTTGGATGTGGGGGATGGGTAGAAAATATCAATTTGGAATTCAGTTCATTTGCAATACTAACAACATGTAAAGAATCACAAATCGTCCTGGAATTAACATGATCAAGATAACTTTACTGATAACGTATGTGAAACATTTGCAGTGTATGCTTAGAGAGTTTAATGCACTGTAATGCTGATACTACTTAAAAGAATTGCTTTAACAAGTGCCTGCAGCTATACCTCCTCGAGCTATGATCTCTCTGTAAACTAATCAAGGTTGGGCCTGGCTCATATTTGGATGAGAGACCTCCAAGTGAAACCTGGGTTGTTGCAAGAAGTGTTGCTGATTCAGTAGGTGAAACTCTTCACTCTGAATCATTAGTGAAGGAAAGCTCCAACTGGAGATGTCACCTTTAGATCAGGAGCAGACTCAGAGTCCTGATTACTTTTTTCCATTAAAAATTCCACAATACTTTTCTAATGGGCGTGTGTGCCTGGTGTTTTGATTTGTTCTGTGTTTGTACAGTGCCTAGTACAATGGGGTCCTGGTTCATGACTGGGGCTCCTAAGTGCTATGAAAATGCAAAGAATAAGTGTAATGGGCAAATTGTAATTTGAATATCTACATTTGATGTAAAATTCCTCTGTTCTAACTAGATAAAAGAATTCTCCCATATTTTCTGGCTCAAATGGTTATGTAGAGCTATTTCATTTCAAAAGTAGCTGCATTTCAGCAGTGGGAGAAGAGACTGCTGTTTTTTATAAAGAATTTTTGAATCCTGTAGCTTTAAAGACTTGATATAAATGTAATTTTTTTTTGTTTAATGATTCAAGGGTATCAGAGTTCTTTTTCAGACTAATGGCTATCCATTTGTACAGAAATCTGTAGGAAGACTTTTCTGTTTCCTCGAGTATAAACCAGTCATTTGACAGGCTGGCAAAATGGCTGATTGATTGACACTACAGCTAGATGAAAAGATCAAGAATATATGTGCCAAGGATTTGGCTCAGTTGATCTTGTTTTTTTGTACGTACGTATAGAATTTTTTAAAAAAATGAATCCTGTCCCCTGACACACAGGATACTGAAATCTTATTTTTGTGAGTTTTAGCATACAAGTGTCCTCTAGAAAAGAGAGACAGAGACTCTGTTGTCTATTATAATTAAGGCTCTTTGGGCAGGGACTGTCTCTGATCTGTGTTTGTACAGTGCCTAGCACAATGGGCTCCTAGATGTTATAATAGTGTAATAAAAGGGATTCCACAGCATGAAGGGGAAAGCAATGGAAGTAAATATGGTTTTGGGCTGTACTAACTTTTTGCTCTCTGCCCCCCTGTGGCTTGGGCTTAAATAATCTGGAAAAGCTGAGTTGGTTCCCCTGTCCTTCTATGAGGTCCCCACTGATACTTCGGGTAAGGAAGGAGCTAAATGCCACATTGGAATTCTCTTTTCTGCGAGGGCTTCTACACATAAGAGTGCAGAATGTCTTATGTTAAGTAGAATGAGTGTTACTTTGGT